CTGACCCTGAGTCTGACTCCCTTCGTGCTACCAGTCCTACTGTCACGCGTCTCCTGGCTACTGTTGTCACTGACCCTTCCTTTGAGTCCACTGCTGCGTCTGCCTTAGTTGCTGAGCTTGTCGACTTTGCTGCCGCTTGTCGTCTAGACTACGCCGCTAGTCTAGTTGCTGAGTCTGAGTCTGTCTGTCCTCCGTCCGTCGGGGGTGAGTGTGCTCTTGGCACGGACGTCCTTGAGGACAAGCAGGAGGAGTTTGAGTGCTTTGCCGCTGCTGTACCTCATCTCGTGTCCATGCTAGTTGCCCCTGAGGGAGACCCGGATGCACCAGACATCCCGACTCCGCGCTCTTACGCAGAGGCGATAGAGGGTCCCTACTCCTCTCAGTGGCAGACAGCCATGGACGCAGAGATGGCTTCCTGGAAGTCCACAGGCACCTACGTCGACGAGGTTTCCCCACCTGGGGCGAACATCGTCAGTGGCATGTGGATTTTCAGGGTGAAGCGGCCGCCGGGTTCTCCGCCTGTCTTCAAGGCGCGTTACGTTGCACGAGGCTTCAGTCAGCGAGAGGGAGTTGACTTCTTCCAGACCTTCTCCCCGACCCCGAAGATGACCACTCTTCGGGTTCTGCTGCACGTCGCCGCTCAGCGTGACTACGAGCTCCACTCTCTTGACTTCAGCACTGCTTTCCTACAGGGCAGCCTGCACGAGGAGATCTGGTTGCGCCGCCCACCTGGCTTCACTGGGTCGTTCCCTCCTGGTACCCAGTGGAGCCTCCGGCGGCCAGTCTACGGTCTCCGAGAGGCGCCACGTGAGTGGCACGACACACTGAGGACTACACTTGCGGCTCTTGGGTTCGCTCCTTCTACTGCTGACCCTTCGCTGTTTCTACGCACCGACACCTCACTGCCGCCGTTCTACATCCTCGTGTACGTCGACGACTTGGTCTTTGCCACTGCTGACACTGTCGCACTCGCCCACGTGAAGTCGGAGCTGCAGAAGAGACACACGTGCACAGACCTGGGTGAACTGACAAGCTATCTTGGCTTGCGGATCACCCGGGACAGAGCAAGGCGCACCATCACCTTGACTCAGTCACACATGGTGCAGCAGGTTCTCAGCGCTTCCGCTTCATGTACTCCTCGCCTCAGCCCACTCCTCTGCCTACCAGTCACTCGCTCTCAGCTCTGCCTTCGGATGAGTCCGTAGAGCCGAGTGGCCCGTATCCAGAGCTTGTGGGCTGCCTCATGTACCTGATGACCTGCACTCGACCTGACCTTGCATACCCTCTTAGCATTCTTGCACGCTATGTCGCTCCTGGCCGTCACCGGAAGGAGCACATGGATGCCGCTAAGAGGGTGTTGCGCTACTTGTGCAGTACGTCGGGCATGGGGCTAGTGCTTGGAGGACGAGACCGAGTTGTACTCACTGGGCACTCAGACGCTTCTTGGGCTGACGACCAGGCTACTCAGCGGTCGTCTCAGGGTTACACCTTCAGCCTTGGCTCTGGTTCAGTTTCTTGGCGTTCTACACGCTCGTCTTCTGTTCTCAGCTCCAGTTGTGAGGTTGAGATCTACGCCACAGCCATGGCTGCACAGGAGTTACGCTGGCTCACCTACCTGTTGACCGACTTGGGAGAGCGGCCTCGTTCTCCTCCAGTGCTGTACGTCGACAACAAGGCTGCCATTGCCTTGTGTGAGGAGCACAGACTGGAGCACAGAGCGAAGCATATCGCTCTGCGCTACTTCCTTGCTCGAGAGCTGCAGCAGCGCGGTCAGCTTCGTCTGCGTTACGTGGCCACTCGGTCCAACACTGCTGATGTGTTCACCAAGGCGCTTCAGCCTTGTGACCATCAGCGCTTCTGTACTGTTCTAGGCCTTGTGCCTACTGGGCCTCACTTGCTTACTTCTTGACTCTACTTGTACTGTGATCTCTATATATATGCCTGCATGTTTACACTTGCTAGGTTGTGATCACTGTATCTCTTGTTATACTATCAACCAGCATGTGAACTGGTCTTGTGACCACTTGCTTGTGCTCAGAATTTGTGTGGTTTCCTTGAGATCCACCCTGAGCTTGCTTTGCTTTGCTTTGACTGGTCTTGTGACCATTTGGTTGTCTCCCACTTAGCCTATGGGGGTGTGTCAAACATTATATGTTTATATTGTGTAGGCTATAATGGGTTTAGCCTTAGGGGGTACAGCTTTGTTAGGGTTTCCTACTTGTATCCCCCTCCTACCTAGTTTCATCCATTCTCGTTCTATTCTAGATTCTAACAGGTTTGTCGGCTTGATTTTCACAAAAGCCGTTGCTGCCATCGGGGCCGTTGGCATTGCTGCTGGCGTCGCCGTCGTCGTCGCTGCTGCACGTGGTGGTACTGCACGCGACTGTTGTGGTGAATGTTCCTGCTGCGCCTGCCTCGCTTCGTCCGCATCCATCTCGCCTTCCAGCTCGCTCCAGACCCGCTCATCTGGTGTAGTGCTGCTACTTGCGTCGTCCACGACAGGCGACTCCTGGCGCGCTTCACCACGCGCCTGGTGTAGTTCGGCGTTTCCCTTCTGGAGACGCTCCATTTCTGCAGACATGGTCTGCATGGTGGCCTGCATCGTCCGGAACTGTTGCAAGAACTCGTTAAACTCCGCCTGTTCCATGTGTCGCAGGCTTCGTCTAACGGGCAGGGGGTGGCTCGCGATTTTTTTGACTTCGGTGAAGGCGTTAATGCTATCGTAGTCGGAGTGGAATAATCAGATCTATTCCACGGGCCGACCGCTTAACAGCCCACCAAGTCTATCGCTCCCCTTCTACAATTACCCCGGAAACGCGAGGGTAACCTAGGACTTTAGGCTCTGATACCAAGTGTTATGAGTTGTGAAAGGAAAGAGTGCGCAGAACTCAATAATGCGGAAGTGATTACAACGTCTGAGAACACAACGAGGCCTAGGACTATTATAGCAAAGCTAGCTAGGCCGAGGTCGCGGGGTCGCGGGATGGTTGGGTGCAGGTTCGGGGTTGGAAAACCCGAAGGCGACGCGGTAGTGGCTCGGAAGGCGAGGTCGGCGGACCGAGCCTGGTTTTCCGAAAGTCGGAGTTGTACGCGTACAGTGTGACCCAGTAAGGAATCCGAAAAATTCCTTACATGAGGGGTAGGTACTAATTCTATAATTTGTGTGCAGAATCACTTGTTTCAACTCATCATTGCTGCTGTCAAATTGCTTGTACAGCGGTGACTTCTTGCTGCAAATTGCATCTTGTACTAAACAATTCTTTTTCTTCCCCACAACAGTACAGTATAAATGCTGGTAGGCTACAATAATGTGCAAATTTACAACCCTTCTTTATCGTCTCCCTCTGTGAGAGGGAATCTCAGGCTGAAGAACACCCTTCCTGCCAGCAGCGATGCCACCACCACTAGAGAGACCTCGGTCGGTACGTGCAGGCCTGGCAGTGCAGAGAAAGGGGAGAGAGGGTGAGAGCGGAAGAGAGGACGTCAGTGCGAGGGAATGAAGGCTGATAAACACTCCCCCTGCCAGCAGCGACGCCACCACCCCTAGAGAAACTTCTGCTGGTACGTGCAGGCCTGGCAGTGCAGAGGGGAAGGGAGAGAGGGAGGGAACGGAAGGTACTCTTGAGCACGACAGGCATGGACGGCCGAAGGTAGTGCGGGTCGGTGCATGGCATGTGATGGTGTGCATGGCATGTGATGGTGTGCATGGCATGTGATGGTGTGCATGGCATGTAATGGTGTGCATGGCATGTAATGGTGTGCATGGCATGTAATGGTGTGCATGGCATGTAATGGTGTGCATGGCATGTAATGGTGTGCATGGCATGTAGCTGTAGGTAGTGCAGATTGGCCATGCTGGTGGCGATGACTGTGAAGTGCGATCGCAGACCTGGTGGGGTGTGGAGTGCGGTGGGATGGGATGGCATGAGAGGTGCGATGATGTTGAAAGTTTTGTGAGGGATGCAATGCAAGCGAAAAGAGGTATGAAAACACTGAAGATAAAGCTTTGACCGGCAGTGACAACAACCAGTAATTGCGACATTAAGCAGTGGTGATTGTACCGAGGATAGCGGAGATGTTTGATGTGAATACGATGAAGGGATCGCGAGTGACGCCAAAGACTGCTGGAATGGAGTCAAACTGATGGGAATGGGTGGAATGCGGTGGGATGGGATGGGGAGGGAAGGGATGGGGAGGGATGAGATGGGGAGGGATGGGATGGGATGGGATGGGATGGGATGGGCAAAAGGGCAACCAGGCAAAGGAGTATGGGAGAGACATGAAGAATAGGAGGTGAAAAGACAGGGTTTTGAGTGACGGCAAATACTGGTGGGATCAAATGAAAATGATGAGGGGGGATGGGGTGGAATGTGATGGGATGGGATGGGATGGGAAGGAATTGGGAAGAGAGGGGACAATAAGCAGTAAGAGGGTCATGAGTTTTGAGTCGACTCAAGACGCGGCTCATTTCAATGGGATGGGACGGGATGGGAGGGAATGGGAATGAGATGGGACGATAAGAAATAAGAGGGCCACGAGTGACGGCAAATATTGCTGGAATGGAATAAAACTGATGAGGAGGGATGTGCGATGGGATGGGAGAATGAGAAGGAAAGAGATGAGAGAAAGAGATAAAACGGAGAGGAGATGAGATGAGAGGAGAGGAGAGGAGAGGAGAGGAGAGGAGAGGAGAGGAGAGGAGAGGAGAGGAGAGGAGAGGAGAGGAGATGAGAGGAGATGAGAGGAGATGAGAGGAGAGGAGAGGAGATGAGAGGAGATGAGAGGGGGAGGGGATTTAGGGTTTAGAAGAGGAGAGGAGGAGAGGAGGAGAGGAAAAGAGCAGCACTCACCGTGAAGACAATGTCTGAAAGCTCGACGACGGCTAGAGTGAGGAGGAGAGGAGGGGAGAGGAGAGGAGGGGCGGTTGAGCACCAGTGCACCCTAGGCTAAGAGCAGCACATCACTCACTGCTAAGACAATGTCTGAAAGCTCTACGACGGCTAGAGTGAGGAGGAGAGGCGTGGAGGAGAGGAGGGGAGGAGAGGAGGGGAGGAGAGGAGGGGAGGAGAGGAGGGGAGGAGAGGAGGGGAGGAGAGGAGGGGAGGAGAGGAGGGGAGGAGAGGAGGGGAGGAGAGGAGGGGAGGAGAGGAGGGGAGGAGAGGAGGGGTTTCACCCTCAGGAGCACTCACCGCAAAGACAATGTCTGAAAGCTCGATGGCTAGAGTGAGGAGGAGAGGCGTGGCCTGATGTATAGAGGTGGTGGGGGAAGCGGATTGGGAGGGGGTGGGGACGGGGTGGGGAGTGGAGGGTGGATGGGGGAAACAATGGAGAGAGTGAGGAGGAGAAGAGTGGACTGATGTATTGGGTGGTGGGGGGAAGGGTTGAGGGGGGGAGAGGGTGGGGAGAGGAGGGAGAATGGGAGCAACAAGACAGCAAGGTCAACAATGGAGAGAGTGAGGAGGAGAAGAGTGGACTGATGTATTGGGTGGTGGGGGGGAGGGTTGAAGGGGGGGGAGAGGAGGGTGGATGGGGAACACAATGGGAAGAATGAGGAGGAGGGGAGTGGGCTCATGATTGGGTGGCGGGGGAAAAGCGGTTGGGGGGGAGCGAGGGTGTTGACTTGACACAACAGAGAGGTCAGCAATGGGGTGAGGAGGAGAGAAGGGTGGGTGAGGTGACAGCAACAGGGCAGCACGCTTAGCAATGCAGCAGAGTGTGGGGGAAGCGGAATGATTTGTAGAGGGGGAGGGATGGTGCGGAGGGATGGCGAGTGAGAAAGGGAAATCAGTGAGGAAAGAAGGAATCATAGAGAGAGAGAGAGAGAGAGAGAGAGAGAGAGAGAGAGAGAGAGAGAGAGAGAGAGAGAGAGAGAGAGAGAGAGAGAGGGGATTAGCCTCTCCCATTCTACCCTCTGCCCTCTGCTTTCTGCCCTCTGCCATGAGTACTTAAGGCCACGACGGCCTCTCCATCTCTCATTCTTTCAGTTAGTGCTGAAAATTTCGGTTCTTGCTCGTTCGAGAGAGCGAGAGAGAGAGAGAGGATTAGCCTCTCCCCTTCTATCCTCTGCCCTCTGCTTTCTGCCCTCTGCCATGAGTACTTAAGGCCACGACGGCCTCTCCATATCTCATTCTTTCAGTTAGTGCTGAAATTTTCGGCGCTTCGCGATAGTAGCAAGGGGGAACAACAAGCAGTAGTAGCTTAGGCAACCGATACAAGCAAGGCAAGCTAGAACACTTAGCAAGACGACGATGGAACGGGTCTACACGCGCAAGGGGGGAGCGCCTACATGCGGTCCGCCTCTACCGCAGCAAGCATTCCGCTCGTGTTCAACCACAACTGACGGACCACTAACACGGTGGCGCCTACAAGGTCAACAGGAGTACCAGAGCCTGCTACAAGCGTCCTCAGAGCCAGGGCCGAGTCAGCCAGCTGGCTGGCCGAGGTTGCTCCCGGCGAGGGCCCTACCTGCAGTGGCGTTACGAGCGCGAATAGCGCTGATGCCGCCACATGGCAATCAGCTCGCGGCTTCTGAGAGAACCTGCTCGGAGGGCTCACCGGCATGGAGTCAAATGACTCCTGAAGAATCTGCTCAAGGCTCTGCAGGGACGCCGCCAGCGACCATAGGCGGGCCAGGGTCGCCGTGGGAACTTCCTTCATCGGCGGAAGCAACGCAGACGCGCGGGCACGGTGAGACGACACGGCGAGATCACGCGGAGCAGGAAGAGGACGCGGCGGAGCAAACTGAGCCCACGGCGGCCCGCCACCAGCGCCTACGAAGCCCATCCCCGCAGGCAGCGGCCGCGCTGAGCGCGCCGGGGATCCAAAAGGATTGTGGGGCAGGAGCGCGGAGAGAGGGACGACGGGAGCAGCGCGAGGAGCTGATGGTGACGCCGACCCCGCATGCGAGCGACGAAGCTCCTTCTCCACGTCATCAAGCCGATCCAGAAGACGGCGCTCCATTGCGGACGGCGCTGGACGCGCTTTTCCGCCACGACTGTCACCTCCCCGTCGCCCACGACGCGCACGCCCACTTGCGTTCGAGCGCACAGGCGACTGCGGGCGAGATGGGCCCTGCGGACGTTGGCGGCCAGGGAAACGGTCCCCGCGATGAGGGGAGCAGAGCCGTTGGCGCTTTGCAGGAGGGGGCGAACGCGGAGCTGGGGGCTGACGCCCAGACGTCTGGCGGGCAGGCGATCGCTGACGAGATGAACGGGGAGCGGGCGAACGATGACGATGCGAGCGGCGGTCACGGGATCGGCTCCGCGACGCCACGCGACGAGGCGAACGAGGCGACATCGGCGAACGAGCCGCACCGTGACGATCGTCGCGGCGGCTCTCCCGCTTATCGTCGCGAGCTGCCGATGAGCGACGGCGAGGCTAACGCTCCCGGTGCGCCACAGCCTCTGCGCCGGAGCGCGCGACGAACCCCGCGCGCGGGGGCTCCCGCGGTGACAAGGACCTGCCCGCGCGCGGAGCCAACTCGCGCCGCTGGTCCTCGAAGCGGCGGCGGATCTGATCAGCGGACGCCGGCGGAGCAACAGGCACGATCGCGGCAGGGCGTGCAGGAGGAAGCGGACGGGGAGCAGGATCGCTCTCCGCGGCGCATTCGCGGCCCAGAGCGCCAAGGAAATCCATTGGCCAACGCTCAAGACGCTCCACTGGCACACGAGGAGGCGACAACGCCGATCTCCCAGGCGCAACAGGCGGAACCTGTGGCAGCTACTCCGCGGAGCGGACGGGGAAGCACGCGGGGGAGAGGCGGGCGACGAGGAGCGCGCGGAGGGCAGAGGAGCGCAGGCCAAGCGGGAAGGGGAACGCCCCGCCAGTTGCCGAGCCCAATCTGGTTGGGGGAGCCGGCGGAACGAGTCACGCGCCAGTCGTTCGCTAGACGCGGTGGGGGAGGAGGAACGACAGCGCAAGCAGTGAGAATCGGGGATACAAACTCAGAGGGGAGCGGCGACGAATATGTACCGTCGGATCTGAGGCAACCCGACAATCCCGACTCACCTCTCGCGGAAGCGGGGGAGGAGCAGGCGCAGCAGCAGGAGAGAGGTTCTAGCCGCCGACAGAACCGCAGACCCCAACCCCCTCCGGACCAAGCCCTGTCAGCGTCCCAGCTGGCATCGAGGGAGGACCTCTTTGATCTCGCGATGAGTTGGGACTCTTCAACTCTAACATCGACCACTCACCTGCCTATCGTCCGCCGCCTGCCGCCGCAGAGACTAAGCGATTACTCCACCTGTATGCTGGCCGCCCTCTTACGGATCTCTAAACTGCCAAACTGCGCGGGAGCGTGGCGTGTCCTCATGTTCCTGCCACGTCTCACCTTACGACTCAGCAGGAGGTCCAGCTCTAGGTGGAAGGTGCTGCGGGCACAGATGCACCTATTCAGATGTGGCCACTGGAACCAGCTGTACAATGACTACGTGGGGTCCCTGCACCAAGCTGAGCCACCTCAGCACCAAAATGACCCCCTGGGAATCTGCTCACGTGTGGAGGGGTTGGTGAAACGGGGTAACCTGCGAAAAGCGTTGGCAACCCTTCAACCCTCGCCAGCTGCCCCTGCGACGATCGCAACACTGCAGCAGTTGGAATTGAAACATCCCCAACCCCAAATTGAGCTGCCCGACTGGGTCCACACCTACACAACACCCACGCAATTTTCATGCACCGCGGAAAGTTTCTCAGACGTCCTCGGGGACTGCCCCAGCGGAGTTGGGGCTGGTCCATCAGGGTCAACATTTGAACACTACCGCGACCCAGCCCTAAGTAACATCGAAGTACTAGGGCACCTGCACTCCACCGTAACACACCTTCTCTCGACGAATCTCTCCACCGAGGTTGCAGCACTACTCTCACCATCCCGCCTCATCGCCTTCGTGAAACCAGGGGGGGGGGTACGCCCTATCGCGATTGGGGAATCCCTGCTTCGGCTGGTAGCAAAGGTGGCACTCTCGGAACTGCAAGGAGAAACAAGGCGATTTTTCTTACCCCAACAATTCGGCGTGGCAGTCCCGGGCGGAGCTGAGTTCGTTATCCACGCAGTCAGAGACCTTACCACTGCACAACCTTCCAGCCTAGTACTCCAACTCGACATTGAAAACGCTTTCAACTCCGTAGAGAGGAAAGCATTCTTCAACGCGCTCACCAACACCCCGCTAGCTCCACTCATCCCATTCACACGCTCCTTCTACGCAACGCCCTCACCGCTGCTGATCGATCCCCGCTTAAGCCCAACAGCACTCACCAGCGGAAGGGGAGTCAGGCAGGGGGATCCCCTCGGACCCCTTCTATTCGCGGCGTCAATCCAGCAACACCTCAGGCGGGTAGCAGCTGAACACCCGGAAGTCACGGTCCTAGCTTACGCAGACGATATCACCATGATAGGACCGGCGACGGCGACGCTCGGCGCGCTGGGAGTGCTGACGCCGCTACTAGCACAGGATGGTCTCACCTGCAACTTTAGGAAGTCGTCGGCATGGTCTTCCACGCCGCTTGGTGGCGACGCGCTTCCCGAGGGCCTTGCCCTCACCCACGATGGGGTTCGGGTGTTGGGAAGCCCTGTGGGGTCGCAGAGCTTCTGCTCTGACTTTGTCCGCAGCACCCTGACAGACGCGGCGGCACCCTTGGGCTCTCTGGCGACCATCCACCTGCAATACACCCTCCTGCTATTGTCCCGTTGCATCAGCCGCAGAATCGGCTACCTGCTGCGCACCACCCCAGCAGACGTCCTACCTCTCTCGGAATGGCATGCATGGTGCTCCGAACTGCTGAACACCGCCTTGACCGCCGCCAGCATTCAACCGCCCCGTCGAGAAGCCGAGTTCAACTTCCTCCTCCAACAGGCAACTCTCCCAGTAGCCCTAGGCGGACTGGGCCTTACGGACCCAACCACGGAAGCAGCACCGGCCTACCTGGCATCTACAACAGAGGCGCTACGCCTACTCCGCTCCCTGGACCTACCGGCAACCGCGCCACTAGGGGCCAACAGCAACGCCCTGCAGCCGTCTGCAGCGCACTCCGTGACCATCCAGGACATGGAGGGGCGACTGCCACCGCTGGCGCTACAAAACCTACGGGAGGAGCAGCAAACCCCGTCCCAGGACCAGCTGCAGCGCGCCCTCTCCCAGGAAGTGCACGCGGCAAAGGCCGACGCCCTGACAGAGGAATCACGCACAATCAGGTCAGCCCCCGAGATGGGCCACACGCTCCGTCTCGTCAGCCTGAGAGGCGAGGGAGCGGGGGCATGGCTGCAAGCCCTGCCCCTGACACCAGACCTCTGCTTTTCACCAGGGCAATTCCGAACAGCCCTGGCCTTCCGCATGGGTATCCGCCAGAATGTACCTACTGTGTGCGAGTGTGGAGAACTCGTAGCCGACTGCAGCCTACCCAACCACCTACTCCGCTGCAGCACAGGCCCCGACAGGACGCGCACACACAACCAGCTGGCATTCGCCGTGGCTAAAATGGCGAGGGAGGCAGAGCTGGTGGTGTACCTGGAGAATGCGATGTACTCACCGCCGGATGACCCGAAGAAGGCAGATGCGATTGTACGTGACCCGGACAGTGGAGAGACTTGGATCACAGACACTACTATCACTGACCCCGTGCTACAGAACCGAGACCCGACAGCCCGCAAACCCCCAGGCTGGGCTGCGAGGGAGGCACAGAGGCGGAAGGAGAGGGACTACTACAGGCACACCGAACACGTAGTGTTCTGCGCCCTGGCCGTCGAGACATACGGGGCAAACGCGCCCCCCACGACAGCGTTCCTTAAGTTGCTGGCCACAGCAGCGGCTAGGAACAGGTTCAGGGCCAACCCCTTGGCCAAATCGGCCAAGAAGATGGCCTGCCACTTCAGCCAACGCTGGTCAGTGGCCCTCCAGCACTCCCAAGCGAATGCCCTGCACACCAAGGCCAGGGCTGGGATCGAGGCAGCGCACCCCCAGATGGCAGCGGACCCCTGGCCACTGCACCTGGGGGACATCCTCCACACGCTGGAGGGCTAGAGGGTCACTCGGGGGGGGGGGGGGGGGGGGGGGGAAGAGGGGTGAGCTAAGGGGCTTAAGGGAAGGAGGTTATCATGGATTGCACTGCATGTTTTTGTACCCCTGCTGAATCAATACAAAGGACCGTTTGAGAGAGAGAGAGAGAGAGAGAGAGAGAGAGAGAGAGAGAGAGAGAGAGAGAGAGAGAGAGAGAGAGAGAGAGAGAGAGAGAGAGAGAGAGAGAGAGAGAGGTCAAGGATCAAAAGACGGGATCAGCATCAAGGGAAAGAAGAGAGTAAGCACAGAAAGGCAAAACATGAGAGTAGGTACGGTGGGGATGGGAGAGGAAATAAACAGGAACGTATACATCAGGGTAAAATGGTGGCAAAAAAGGAGAAATGAGTTTAGGGTTTGTCTACTGACCATTTGCACGCCTGCTGCTATTGTGGTGTAAAATTTGTTACTGTCGTAGTAATCTGCACAAGGAAAGGTGAGAGTACGCATGGATTGCAGTCTAAAGCGAGGATGGAAACTCATTTTTGAGTCGACTCAGAAGTCAGCACATGGAAAGGTGGGAGTAGGCATGGATTGCATCATTGCAGTCTAAAGTGAGGATGGAAACCCAACAAGTGGAAAGGAAACCGTAAACCTTAACCCCCTCGATGGGTGAAAAGTGGGAAGAAAAGGAAAACAAACCTACCCGCCATAGGGATGAGCTTTTGGCAGAACTTGACCACATTTGAGCTTGGAAGGGCAGCAAACTACTGGGGGCGATTGATTGAGCATGAAAGGAAGAGCTATACCTGTTATAGGGATGAGCTTTTGGCAGAACTTGACGACTGCGTTGTTGGAGAGGTCGTCGTCCTCATCCTCTGCCTCTGCCACTGCTAGTAGCGCACCCACACACACACCCTCGCACGCACCCACACCCATTCCCCCCAACCCCCCCCCCCCCCCCCCCCCTCCACACCCTCTTCTCTGGCCCCCACACACATAAAAGCCTACCCGTTATAGGGATGAGCTTTTGGCAGAACTTGACGACTGAGTTGTTGGAGAGGTCGTCGTCTTCGTCCTCTGCCTCTGATAGTAGCTGGATAGGGGGGAGGGAAAGGGAGGTGGATAGCAGGCAGAAGCAGGGAGGGAGTGGGCGACAGGGGCAGAATGTGACCACCGAGTTGTTGAAGCGATCATCGTCCTTGTCCCCTGCCTCTGGTAGTAGCTGGATAGGGGGGAGCACAGTTGTTGGCGAGATTGGTGTCTTCGTCCTCTGCCTCTGATAGTAGCTGATGTGTGGGGAAGGGAGAGAGGGGATGGATGGGAGGAAGAGAAGACAAGTATTGGGTGGCAAAGGCAGAACTAGACCTTTGCCCCTGCCTCTGGTAGTAGCTGGGGAGGGGGAGGGGGGTTGGGATGGGAGGAGAGAGGGAGGAAGGAGGGGAGGAATTGAGCTGTTGCAGAGGTCGTCGTCCTCATCCTCTGCCTCTGCTAGTAGCTTGTGAGGGGGAGAGTGGGGGTGGGGAGTGCACGGGGGATAGCAGTAAGAGAGGGAAAGGGGTTGGGGGCAGAACTTGACGACCGAGTTGTTGGAGAGATCGTCGTCCTCGTCCCCTGCTTCTGCTAGTAGCTGGGGACAAGGGGGGTGACATAGCAGGCAGAAGCTGGATCTGACATGTGCTTTAGAGTCTCTGGACTCGCAAGGGGTTGACAACAAGGGCAGAACTTGACGACCGAGTTGTTGGAGAGATCGTCGTCCTGATCCCCTGCTTCTGCTAGTAGCTGATGGGGGGAGGGGAAGGGAAGTGGATAGCAGGCGGAATCAGGGAGTTATTGGGCGACAAGGGCAGAACTTGACGACGGAGTTGTTGGAGAGATCGTAGTCCTGATCCTCTGCTTCTGCTAGTAGCTGATGGGGGGAGGGGAAGGGAAGTGGATAGCAGGCGGAATCAGGGAGTTATTGGGCGACAAGGGCAGAACTTGACGACCGAGTTGTTGGAGAGATGGTCATCTTCGCCCTCAGCCTCTGCTAGTAGCTGATGAGAGAGGGAGGAAGGGAGGGCGGAGAGCAGCACGAAAGGGTCAGTGAGAACTGGAGTTGATTCGATTGTGAGTTGTTGGAGAGATGGTTGTCTTCGTTCGTCCTCTGCCTCTGCTAGGAGCTGGGGAGAGGAGGGGAAGGGAGGTGAATAGCAGGTAGAGAAGCGAGGAAGTATGGCCGACAAGGGCAAAATTTGACCAGTGAATTGTTGGAGAGGTCGTCATCCTCGTCCTCTGGCTCTGCTAGTAGCTGATGAGTGGGAGAGGGAGAGGAAGGAAGGTAGCATGCAGAAACAGGGATTGAGGAGGGATTGGGCAACAAGGGCAGAGCTTGACCGCAGTGTTGCTGGCGAGATGGTCATCCTCGTCCTCTGCATGTGGGGAGGGGAAGGGAAGTGGATAGCAGGCAGAAGCAGGGAGTTATTGGGCGACAAGGGCAGAACTTGACGACCGAGTTGTTGGAGAGATGGTCATCCTCGTCCTCTGCCTTTGCTAGTAGCTGATGTGGGGAAGGGTGGAAGGGAATGCATAGCAGGCAGAAAAGGAATAGAGAGCAGGTGGAGCGAGGAAGTATGGGTGACATGGGCAGAGCTTGACCACTGTGTTGGTGGCGAGATGGTCGTCTACGTCCCTCTGCCTCTGCTAGAAGTTGATGGGGGGAGGAGGGGGCAAAGGGGGGTGGATCGCAGGCAGAAGCTGGGTTTGGCATGTGCCTCTGAACTCGCAAGTTATGTTCTTTGAGAGTTGTCAAATAGCACACGCTGCATCATATCTCCCTCCCATGGCATCATATCTCCATCCCACGGCATCATATCTCCCTCCCACGGCATCATATCTCCCTCCCACGGCATCATATCTCCCTCCCACGGCATCATATCTCCCTCCCACGGCATCATATCTCCCTCCCACGGCATCATATCTCCCTCCCACGGCATCATATCTCCCTCCCACGGCATCATATCTCCCTCCCACGGCAGAAGCAGGGTTTGACCTGTGGCTCAGAGCCTCTGGACTCGCAAGGGGTTGGCAACAAGGGCAGATCTTGACCGCTGTGTTGCTGGCAAGATGGGAGAGAGGGAGGTGGGGAGGGGAGGGGTTGGACAGCAGGAAGAGGAGGGAGGAAGGGGTTATTGCTGGGGGGGTCGTCATCCTCGTCCCCTGCCTCTGCTAGTAGTAGCTGGATAGGGGAGGAGAGGGTGGGTGGGAGGTATGGGGGGAAGCAAAAGAGAAATGGGAGGAAAGAAGGGACTGGGTTGTAGCAGGAGAACATGAGCAGCGCGGCAAACAGCAGGTTCACCACTTCCAACGCCTGAATGGTTGCAATACCTACTCAGACTCGACCCTTGGTCATGACTCATGACGGCTTGTGAGTCGACTCGTATACCAAGCACCCTAGTACTGCTAGCTACCACCCCAAACCGTCCATTCGCACCTTGTAGCAGGAGAATATGAGCACGGCAGAAAACAACAGGTTCACTGCTTCGAAGGCTTGAATGGCTGCAAGGCCCACCCAGACCAGAGATAAACTGATGCCTTGGGAGTTGAGTTGAAGGCCCGTCACACACCCGCTTCCCCTGGTTTAAACCATTCAATCTTTCTCCTGCACAAATAACATGAAGTTTGTACCCTATTCGCACCTTGATGGAGGAGCATATCAGAACGGCAGCAAACAGCAGGCTCACGGCCTCAAATGCCTTCGGTGCTCACGTTCCCGAGTATCAGCAATCCATAGGCCCCTCCCTTCACTGCTTGGTTGGTACTGCTAAAACCACAACTTGTGGCTTGCACGTTGTAGGAGGAGAAGATGAGCTCGGAAGCAAACAGCAGGCTCATGGCCTCACTGTGTAACATGCAATGCACCACTCGCAACGCAATGTCTTTTGATTCGACTCAAAAGTCTGCGATGTGTCACATGCAATTAACCACCTGCAACGCAATGTGCCACATACACCACCACCTTTCACCACCACCCATAGTTCGATAGCGAATAGCAGATTTACTGCTTCAAAGGCTTGGATGGTTGCAATGCCCACCCAAACCTATGATGACATTTGTGACTCGCCATCCGCCATACACCACCACGCACTCACCCTTTAGTACCACCAACTATTGTTCGCACTTTGTAAGACGAGAAGATGGGCACTGCAGCAAACAGCAGGTTCACTGCCTCAATGGCTTAAATGGCCGCAATGGCCACCCAGACAAGACCCATCAGGCTATCAAGGTGATGACTTCTGAGTTAACTCATCGACCCACCATGCACCCCTTGCCTTGCTTTGAACCTTCCTTGTAGGAGGAGAATATGAGCACCACAGCGAACAGCAAGCTCACCGCTTCAAAGGCTTGGATGGGCACAATGCCCAGACCTATCATGATGGCTCGGAAGATCACAGCTCCGACAATGCCGTACGTGAGCACGCGAGGCTGGAGGACAGGCATGACGGGTTGAGGGGAGAAGGGAGAAAGGAGACGGGGAAGGGGGGTTGTGTTTATCCATAGATGAGTAGACTACTTGAGGGCATAGAAGCACGGTATGCGAGGAAAACAACTCTTTGGATTACAGTGGTTTGCACCTGAAGGGTTGCAGGATAAGTATTTTGGGTGGATCTGAAAGGAAGAGTGATGTGGTGTAGCGGTAGTGGAAAGTTGTGAAGGGGTGAGGTGGTAGTGGGAAGGAAAGGGGTGGTGGTGGGATGGGAAGGGGCGGTAGTGGGATGAGAAGGGGTGGTACTGGGGTGGTAGTGGTGTGAGAAAGGGTGGTACTGGGGTGTTAGTGGTGTGAGAATAGGTGGTACTGGGGTGGTAATGGGGTGAGAAGGGGTGGTAGTGGGATGGCAAGGATTTGTAGTGGCACTCACCTAATAGGCTGCAGGAAATTTGAAGTAGGAAAAAATCATGAGGAGGAAGACAAAGGGATTGTCACACCAATAGCAGTTGGTAGGAGTGGAAGTGGGATGGGAAGCGGTGGGGAGGGAAGCGGTGGGCCAGCAGTTGGAAGCGGTAGGAAGGGTTGGAAAGGGGTGAGGTGGCACCAAGACACTTTGAAATAGGAGAAGATGAGGATGAACACAAAGAGATTTGCAAGTCGAGTCATGTAAGGTGAGAGAGAGTGCCTTTTGAGAGCGAGAGGGAGAGCATGAGTAATTGGTAGGCGGTAGGCACTTTGAAGTAGGAGAAGATGAGGACAAAGACAAAGAGAATGTCCACTGACAGGCGCCGCTCCAATAGATACCTGCCATGTGGCAAGCAGCAGAGAGGGAAGAAAAGACAAACAAATACAAACGCAGGCTTTGGTCCAATAAATACCTGCCACGGGGAACGGTGCTCACTTGCTCACATGCAAGGACCTCAGCTTGTGAATCATAAGCTGCTTGCACGTGAGTGAGTGAGCACCACTCATCCAGTCAATCAAATGCGGAAGAGGCATGCAGCTTCAGTCGGACCGTCCATATTTCAATCGGACCGTGCACAATTCAGTTAGTCCGTCCAATTCTCAGTCGGACCGTGCTCAATTCAGTTAGTCCGCTCACTTCTCAGTCGGACCGTGCGTAATTCAGTTAGTCCGTCAACTTCTCCGTCGGACCGTGCGCAATTCAGTTAGTCCGTCCACTTCTCCGTCGGACCGTGCGCGATTCAGTTAGTCCGTCCACTTCTCAATCGGACCGTGCGCGATTCAGTTAGTCCGTCCACTTCTCAGTCGGACCGTGCGCGATTCAGTTAGTCCGTCCACTTCTCAGTCGGCCCGTGCGCGATCCAGTCAGTCCGTCCACTTCTCAGTCGACCAGTGCGCCATTCAGTCAGTCCGTCCACTTCTCAGTCGGCCCGTGCACGATTCAGTCAGTCCGTCCACTTCTCAGTCGGCCTGTGCGCGATTCAGTCATTCCGTCCACTTCTCAGTCGGCCCGTGCGCGATTCAGTGAGTCCGTGTCAGACTTATGATCTAGCCTGTATAGGCTTTAGCGGGTTAGATACTAAGGGGTACACAATTCTAGGGTTTCATATTTGTATCACACTCATTCCTTAATCATTCTTCGTTTCTTCACATGGTATCAGAGCAGGTTCCCTAGTGGGAACGCTTCCTAAGGCCCACCACGATCATTTTTTTTTTCCTGCCCGGAGCGCGCTTCGCTCCTGCCCGAGTCGCGCCCCGTGTGCCCTCCCTCCCGTCGCGTCCCTAGCCCTTAGCGGCCCGTCGCGCCCTCTTAAGGCCCCTCGCGGCCCCTTTCACGGCCCCTCTCACGGCCCTTCGCGGCCCCTTACGGCACCTCGCGGCCCCTTACGGCCCCTCGCGCCGCCCTTCGCGGCCCCTTACGGCCCCTTGCGCCGCCCTTCGCGGCCCCTCGCGGCCCCTTCGGGGCCCGTCGCCGCCCTTCACGGTCCCGTCGCCGCCCTTCGCGGCCCCTCGCGGCCCCTCCACGGCCCCGTTGCTGCCCTCCGCGGCCCTGTCGCTGCCCTTCACGGCCCCGTCGCCGCCCTTCGCGGCCTCTCGCGGCCCCGTCTCGGCCCCGTCGCCGCCCTTCGCGGCCCCTCACGGCCCTGTCACGGCCCCGTCGCCGCCCTTCACGGCCCCGTAGCCGCCCTTCGCGGCCCACCGTCGCCGCCCCTGCAGCAGCAGCCGCCGCCGCCGCCCCTGCAGCGGAAGCCGCCACCGCCGGAGCCGCTGACAGCAGCGGCCGCCGCCGTCACTCCCGGGGCAGCAGCCGCCGCAGCCACCGCAGCCGCCACCAGCAGCAGCCGCCGCCACCTCAGCCGGGGCCGCAGCCGCCGCCGCCGCTGACTGCAGCCGCCGGTGCGCCTCGACCCTGCCGGCGCGCCTCGGCCCGTCCCTGCCGGCGCGCCTCGGCCCGCCCCTACCGGCGCGCCTCGGCCCTACCTGCGCGCCTCGGCCCGTCCCTGCCGGTGCGCCTCGGCCCTGCCCCACCACTTGCGGCCCTCTGCCCTGGTAAGAGCATCGCAGCGCTGCGCTGCTACTGCTGCCACTGCTGCTCCTGCTGCCACTGCTGCTCCTGCTGCCACTGCTGCTACTGCTGCCACTGCTGTCATGGCTACCCCTAGCGTCCTCGTCTTTGATGCTGAGGGTCGGGCTGTTGACTTTGAGGTCTGGGTCGATGATCTGCTGCTTTTCCTACAGTGTGATAGGAAAGACGGTCTCTCCCTGTTCGATCTCACGTCTGGCGCCTCTACTGCCCCTACTGTCGATGCTGATAGCACTGTTCGCTCCCAGTGGGCCACACGCGATGCTGCTGCCCGTCTTGCTGTGCGTAGTCACTTGCCGTCCTCTGAGCGCGCGCACTTTAGTCAGTACAAGAGTGCTAAGACCTTGTACGACGCTGTCATTGCACGCTACTCTTCCCCTGCCACTGCTGCTCTTAGCCGCCTCATGCTGCCGTACATGTTCCCTGACCTAGCCGCCTTTCCCACAATCGCTGACCTCATTACGCACCTTCGCACTAGTGACGCCCGCTACCACGCTGCGCTTCCTGCTGAGTTCTGCGCCAAGAACCCCCCTCCCATGTGCATCACCCTCTACTACCTAGTCACCCGGCTCCCTGACTCCCTTCGCTCAGTCAGGGACCACTTCCTCTCGGTTTGCCCCACCACACTCACCGTTGACCTCCTCGAGGAGCGCCTCCTGGCAGCAGAGAAGAGTATAGTCGTTGTAGGAGCCTCTCGTGGTGACCCTCGTGCCCCCTTCTTTGAGGGGTGCTCCCCCTCCCCCCTTTTGCCCTCTGTTGCCTCTGCTGCTGCCGTCGACTTAGTTGGCACCGAGTCGGTCGGCGCTGCGTCTGCCCCTAGCGGGAGACGCCGCACCGGCAAGGGCAAGGGGGGCAAGGGCGCTGGAGGGGCTGGCGGGGGTGGTGGAGGTGGCGGTGGAGGCGGCGGAGGGAGTGGGGGTGGCGGTGGGAGTGGTGGCTGGGGTGGGGGCTTCGGTGGCGGCGGTGGAGGCGGAGGCGGCGGC